GCAGCTCAAGCACATATGTGGCCTAAAGCCAAAATTTAATTTGAGACCTAAATTTTTAAAAGAATATTATGATATATATTTTTATTTGAAATCTATTATTTTTCTATCTTTGGAGATGCAAAGTTGTTAATAATTTTTTTATAATCGATTTCTCTAATAATTCCTTTTCAATTGATAGTATAGCCAACCTATTTAATCTTTCTTGAGACATTATTGATCTTAGGTAAGATTTTATCAATTATAATTTTGAAAAAATTATATTCTTTGAGGCAGCTATTATAGAAAAATTCTACTTTTGTACTAAAAGTACTAATTATTTTTTAAAAAAATACCTATGAACCTATTATTTTTTTAAAAAATAATAGGTTCATAGGTATAACATCAACTGCCTCACCCTTTTCTTTGCAGGAAAGGGAGGGTAGGTGTGTTATTAATCACTATATATAGAATATGAAACAGTTCTCACACAAGTCATTATCCAGTTGATAAAAATAGCAGGAATGTTTAACCTAGTGAGGACTTGTTCCAGGAAGGTCCATTCCATTCTAGTGAGTCATACGCCTTTTTCATATCTATTTTGAGCATGCATTAAGGTGATATACCCTTCCTCTCACAGCCTTTAACTAATTCACGAGCAAGGAGTATGTTGTCAGTTATGATTCTTCCAGGTACAAAAGCAACTTGGTTGTTATCAACAAGGAAATCCATGACATCTTGTAACCTTCTAGTTAACATCTTAGAGATAATCCACTGGAAAAATTCATCCCATATATATATACATCAACTAACAGTCAGTCACTTACTGTATAAGGCCAATCCAGTCAAGGAAAGATCCATCCCCGAATATAAATAATTCGGACAAGATCCATCCCTCAATATAAATGCTTCGGGCAAGATCCATACCCAGGGAAGATCCATCCCTCAATATAAATGCTTCGGGCAAGATCCATACCCAGGGAAGATCCATCCCTCAATATAAAATCAAACACGCTCACTGTGGGGGTGCAGACTCCGGAGGGGCTCCTTCAGTCCAAACGCTATAATAGCCAGATCCAGACATAAATAAATAAAATATGTTGCGACGTGCAGCCCGATTCCATAAATTATCACTCAAAATCTCCAACGCATATGTATTTATTGCTTTTCCTTTGTAAAAGAAAGAAATGATATTTCGATTAGATAATCTATGGATGAATGGATCAGAAAGCAGGGACAGGGTAGGGGTAATTGGAAATATTACAAACTATTACGATACAATAAGTCCTCAGTTTTGTGGCTTTAATAGAATCTGTTTGCCAAGAGATTGGAACTTAAGGAAGAGATGCCTAATCTTCGAGGAATATTTTTTGTGTATGTGAATATATATATATATATATATATATATATATGCTACTCTAAGGAACCTATTCATAATGGTTAACTTGAGAAATAAATATGTGGCAGCAATACGGTTGGGTAAATCAATTTAAAATATCGGACTCCAGAATTCTTAAATCAAGAACAAGAGTATTTCATGAAAATCTTCAAGTGTGTAAACAGTTATTCTACTAACATGCCATAATACTCTTCTCCTCCATATAGTAAAAGAGGGCAGAGTGCAACTAATCGTTTCATGTGTATGATTTAGTGGGCGTTTGGACATAAGAATTGTAAAACTTCGGGAAGGGTAAAAAATAAAAAAATCAAATAAAAATGATTTTTAAAAATATGAGTTGTGTTTGGACATGAATATAACTTTTGGGATATTTTTGAATTTTTGTGAGTGATCTGAAGTGAAAATTTTAAAAAATAGATTTTTGGAGTTTTTTACATTTTCGAAAAATTCCGAAATTCATATTCAAGTGAAAATTGAAAATTTCATGGCCAAACACTGATTTCGAAAAAAAAGTAAAACAAATTCGAAAAAAGGAATTTTTTTATGGCCAAACAGGCCCTTAGTTTTTATTCAAATGTAAAGATAATTATTTCAATTTAAAAACTAGTAGCACCTGTCTAGCTATCAAATTTCCGAGGAAAGAGGTTTACTAAATCAATGTAAACTAACTGTACAAAATCTCCTTTTGACTCTCTGAATAGTTAATTAAGTAAACAAACAACGAAAAAGAGACATCCAACTTGAAACAGAACAAAGAAATTTACTTAAACTTTGTTGATGTAAGTAACCTGCACTTCCAACCAAGAGGTTATTAGTTCGAGTTATCCAAGAACAAGGTGGGGAGTTCTTGGAGGGAAGGATGCCGAGGGTTGCCGAGGGTCTATTGGAAATAGCCTTTCTACCTCATGGTAGGGGTAAGGTTTGCGTATACACTATCCTCCCCAAACTCCAACCCCAATAGTAAAATTATACTGGATTGTTATTGTTGTTGTTGTTATTGTTTCTTTAAAAAAAAGAAGGGAAACAAAGGCAAGCAATCGAAAAAAGAAGATGTAAAGTTTACCTGTTTGCAACACCACAAACAATAGTGACGCCGGCAGCCACCTTCTTAACCGAAATTGAACTGAACAATGACACTTTAAAAAAGAAGTATGTTTACCCGAAAAACGGATAGAGTTGAATTTATACGTAGTTCTAAGAATACGTGGTATAACTTGGTACAAATCGGAAAAGTAAGTAGAAATATATCGAATATTGATTGTATAAAGGAATAAAATACAAACCAAATTGAGTAAAGAACGATTTATAAACAGGCAAGATGAATCAATGTCCAAACTGAAAAAAGAATAATCCCAACTATATATCAATGTAATAATCTTTAGAATGTGAGTGTATCAATATTTTCTTCTCTGGATGTTGAATCTGCCCTAAACAGAAATAATACCCACTTTTAATATAGTAGAAGAATCTTACTTTGGATATAATAAAAAATATATAGTGGGGATCCCATGATAGATTAGTTGATCATCTTTTCCTTAATTTCCGCCGAGATTCTCTTCCTGGTGCGGCTACAACAGCTCTTTGTCTCTTAGCTAGATCTTGATCGGTCTTGTTATCGGTCGATCTCTGGATCTCGAGCTCGATATTGACTCGAGCTCAATATTGACTCGAGCTCGGTATTGGTTGGTCTCTGACTCTTGAGTTCGGTAACGCTACTTCATGTCATAGCTCGATATTGACTTGAGCTTGATATTGACTCGAGCTCGGTATTGAATCGAACTCGGTATCTTGAGCTCGATAACCCGGCTTTACTTCTGATCTCGATGTTACAATGACGACCCTCGGTTTATCACGTTCCAATCTCGACTAATTACATGAAGGGCAAACTCAGATTTGACCGTATACAGATAGTTCCCTCGTTTCTCGGAAAGAATGTGGCGAGAAACGATATGATTTTTTAACGACATGACTAGATACATAGTGACGTCTGCATCGAGCCCGACCATGACGTACGTGATAAATGTCCCGTCGGTTCAGTTACCAAGGCATTAAATGTGCGTCAGACGATGATCGGCCACTGCTGGTATTGAACCGTCATTGCCAACTCTATAAATAGCTCCTCTCTTCACCATTTTCTACTTTTAAATTTCTAATCTCCAAATCTACTAAGTTCTTTTTTTGCATATTCTGAGTTTTTCATTTGCAAATCTGCGATTTTCACTGCTAACCTCTTCTTAAAACACCAAATCTTATCATCTCCCTCTATTTTTAATCTTTAAATCCAAAATGGCGAAAACGTCAAAAACTGTTCCTCAAAAAGAAAACGCTTCTTCATCGCGGCCGGCCGGCGATAGAACACTGGTGGAGCCACGACCTGAGGAGTGCGTTCCCGGGGGTTGCGTTCTCACTTCTGATTTTAAGACCGACAAAGCCTCGCCAGTTCCCGGTCGATGCGAGCCAGTATCAAGGTATATGTGCTCGATAACTGAGGAATACCTTAAACATGTAAGGAAAGATTGCAACTGGAAGAACAAAGAAGTGATAATCCCGGCTTCCGAAGAAGATATTACTACTCATGTGAAAGGGTTTTTAAGTGTTTACACTTACTCTTTCACGTTGGCCCCCCTCGACCCTGTTGTCATCGATTTTTGCCGCCAATACCAAATAACCCTAGGCCAAATCCATCATTCTTTTTGGCGAATCGTTATTCTGATCCGTTTCTTCGTGAACAAAGTCGAGGGGATGCTTTTCACCCTCGACCACCTCATCAGGTTGTACAGCCCCCGCCTCTATCGAGGTGGGTTAATAAAACTCCAACGCCGGGCTACCAAAGTGCTATTCTCGAGCATAGACGAGGACAAGGACCGTGGCTGGATGGGCCGGTTCATTCGAGTGAGGACTTCCGACTTAATCCCGGCCGAGAAGATGCTATTTCCCGAGCAATGGAACATGAAGCGTAAGTATAATCCCCTAGTTAGTTCCTATTAATTGTTTTGCTCCTTTGCTTTTTCTTATCGATATCCTTTTCCGTGATGTAGCGATCGCTTGGATGTCCGGTGCAATTCCTAACCTCAAGAGCTGGGTTCGAGACCTAGCTTCGACCTCTACGTATGCCGAGCGCTCATGGCGCGATCTATTAAAGGGCCGATGGGAGGCCAAAACTCATGGTAATCCCCTTTTTTGTGCCTTTGATGATTTTGTTTGAAGCATTTCTTGCTTAATTTCCTTTCATACAGGCCTTGGCAAAGACGCTGTCATGAGGCCCTTATCTGGTGAGGGGGAGACTTCGATCCCGACACCAAAACCGGCGAAGGACAGAGAGAGGAAAACAATCTCAACCCCCGAGGACCCCGAACCTAAGAAGAGGGCAGCTCGTAAGCCGAGGAAGAATATCATCCTCCTAACTGAATACTCTGTTCGGCGTCTAAGGGATGAAGATAAAGGAGAGGAAGAAGACGACTCCGGGTTGGTAGCCCGAGTAGGAATTAGCACCGAGGCTCCAAAAGTCATTTGATCGGTGAAGTCTGCAGAGATTCCGTCTCGAGATGAGGGGGTCTCGGGAAGAGATTCAGGCGAAGTCCCCGAGTCATCGAGGATTGAGGATGCCTCCCACCATAATGAGCCAATGGTGGGAATGGTTGTAGGGGCTAGTCTCGAAGTCCCTCGAGATGCAAAGAACGCCCCGAGCGATCCACTTGGGGCAATAGAAATTGGAGGCTCCCCGATGCTTCCCTCATTTTCCGAGGAGATGATTCAAGAGGCTCGGGCCTTGAAGACCCTCTCTATCGAAGGGGTCCACGGAAGGGAGGATCTTTTTCGTGATTACCCAGCGAAGATGCTACCGGCCTGAGTGACTTGTAGGTCTCGAGGAAGGACCCGGGCGAGGCCTTGAGCCTCTTCAACGAAGCACATCAAGCTCTGAATCGGGTAAGCCTTAACTCTACATGTTGGTATTTATACTTGTGTTCGTTTTTCTCTTTGTCTAACTTCTTTTCTTCTTTTTGCGTGGGCCTCAGCGCTTCATCGGGAAGCATTTTCTCGATCTCGAGCTGAGCTGAGTCGGTATGAGGCCGATCTTCGAAGGCTCACGGAGGAGAGAAATGCCCTTAAACTTCTCTGTGGAAAAAGAGAAGAGGAAATCAAGGACCTCCAAGCCGAGTTGGCCAAAGCTCACCAAGATCAGTCCGACCTGATCGAGCAGGTAATAAAAGTCTTTAAAGCTCATGGGCAAGATTAGGGAACGGTGGCTAATATTTCAATCTCACAGCTGCAACAGAAGATCGAGGTGATCGGGCAGCTCCGCGATAAGGTCGATATGATGAAGGCGGAGACCTTGGGTTGGAAGGAAAGTATGGATCGCTTTGCTGCAGAAAAAGAAACTGCTTTATCCCAATTGTCATCGGTCGAAAGTCTGCTTCGAGGCATGAAAGAGAAGAGCTCGGCTCAGGAAGGAAAAATAGCAGAGCTCGAAGCTCGGTTGGCTTATGAACTTGAGAAGGCCAAATCTGAACCCGAAAAGGCTAAAGCTGAGGCTGATGCGATCGTGGCCGTCTACCGAGCCGATGCCGAAGCAGCTCAAGTACAAGCGAGAAAAGCAGCCGAGACCACTAAAACTCGAGCATATTAGATTGCTGAACTCGCAATTGCCAATTTCGGAGGGAAACCCTCGAGGAGATCCACGCTCGAGGTTTCGATCTTGCCGACGAGATAATAAAGGCTAAAAAGTGTGAAACCGAAGCTGCAATGTTGGCCTCTGATGATGACGACGATGATGACGAGAGAAAAAGCAGGTCCGAGAGCGGGGAGGACCTCGATGGAGAAGAAACTGCCCCCGGATAAAATCAGGAACCTTAGGATTTTTCATTTTTGATCTTTTGTGTAGGGTCTTGATCGGACCATGTAAATATCTTCATATATATAAATATCTCTTTCTTTTCCGTCTTGCCTTTATTTCATTCTGTGCCTAGTGAAAATTTTGTTTCATTGATGCCTTATGAAAATTTTATTCATAAGTTCGAGGCTTTAGGTAGTTTGATCGAAGTCGAACTAGTCGAGTGAGTACTTGCTCGAACTCGGAGTAGGGTGACCCTTAGAGTTTAATTGAGCGAGGATGATTTCTCGAACTCAAAAATAAGATGGCCCTTTAGGCTCTCGAATTAGGTCGATACGGCCTTTGTTTGATCATATAAAATCTGTTGTGTCTTAGAATTGAACAAGGGATTTGCTTGATTAGGATTTTCAAGGGTCGATATTATCCACCATTTGGTTCGAACTCGAAATAAGGTAGCCCTTGGGATTTATAGTCGAATGAGTATGATTTCTCGAACCCAAATTAATGGCAGCCCTTGGGCTCGATAGATAGTCCCCGAGTGAGAATGGTTGCTCGAACTCGAGTTAGGGTAGCGCTTAGGCTTTATAGTTGAGTGAGGATTTGCTCGAACTCAAAATAAGAATAGCCCTTAGGCTCAGTGGTCGAGTGAGGACTTGCTCGAACTCAAAATAAGAGTAACCCTTAAGCTTTGTAGTTGAGTGAGAATGATTTCTCGAACTCGAATTAAGCCAGCCCTTAGGCTTTTCAGTCGAGTGAGAATGATTTCTCAAACTCAAATTAATGACAGCCCTTGGGCTCGATAGATAGTCACCGAGTGAGAATGGTTGCTCGAACTCGAGTTAGGGTAGCCCTTAGGCTTTATCGTCGAGTGAGGATTTGCTCGAACTCGAAATAAGAATAGCCCTTAGGCTTAGTGGTCGAGTGAGGACTTGCTCGAACTCGAAATAAGAGTAGCCCTTAGGCTTTATAGTCAAGTAAGAATGATTTCTCGAACTCGAATTAAGGTAGCCCTTAGGCTTTTCAGTCGAGTAAGAATGATTTCTCGAACTCGAATTAATGGCAGCCCTTGGGCTCGATAGATAGTCCCCGAGTGAGAATGGTTGCTCGAACTCGAGTTAGGGTATCCCTTAGGCTTTATAGTCGAATGAGGATTTGCTCGAATTCGAAATAAGAATAGCCCTTAGGCTTAGTGGTCGAGTAAGGACTTGCTCGAACTTGAAATAAGAGTAGCCCTTAGGCTTTGTAGTCGAGTGAGAATGATTTCTCGAACTCGAATTAAGGTAGCCCTTAGGCTTTTCAGTCGAGTGAGAATGATTTCTCGAACTCGAATTAAGGTAGCCCTTAGGCTTTTCAGTCGAGTGAGAATGATTTCTCGAACTCAAATTAATGGCAGCCCTTGGGCTCGATAGATAGTCACTGAGTGAGAATGGTTGCTCGAACTCGAGTTAGGGTAGCCCTTAGGCTTTATAGTCGAGTGAGGATTTGCGCGAACTCGAAATAAGAATAGCCCTTAGGCTTTGTAGTCGAGTGAGAATGAATTATCGAACTCGAATTAGGGTAGCCCTTAGGCTTTTTAGTCGAGTGAGAATGATTTCTCGAACTCGAATTAATGGAAGCCCTTGGGCTCGATAGATAGTCACCGAGTGAGAATGGTTGCTCGAACTCGAGTAAGGGTAGTCCTTAGGCTTTATAATCGAGTGAGGATTTGCTCAAACTCGAAATAAGAATAGCCCTTAGGCTTAGTGGTCGAGTGAGGACTTGCTCGAACTCGAAATAAGAGTATCCCTTAGGCTTTGTAGTCGAGTGAGAATGATTTCTCGAACTCGAATTAGGGTAGCCCTTAGGCTTTTCAGTCGAGTGAGAATGATTTTTCGAACTCAAATTAATGGCAGCCCTTGGGCTCGATAGATAGTCACTGAGTGAGAATGGTTTCTCGAACTCGAGTTAGGGTAGCCCTTAGGCTTTATAGTCGAGTGAGGATTTGCGCGAACTCGAAATAAGAATAGCCCTTAGGCTTTGTAGTCGAGTGAGAATGAATTATCGAACTCGAATTAGGGTAGCCCTTAGGCTTTGTAGTCGAGTGAGAATGAATTATCGAACTCGAATTAGGGTAGCCCTTAGGATTTTTAGTCGAGTGAGAATGATTTCTCGAACTCAAATTAATGACAGCCCTTGGGCTCGATAGATAGTCCCCGAGTGAGAATGGTTGCTCGAACTCGAGTTAGGGTAGCCCTTAGGCTTTATAGTCGAGTGAGTGTTTGCTCGAAATCGAAAATAAGAATAGCCTTTAGGCTTAGTGGTCGAGTGAGGACTTGCTCGAACTCAAAATAAGGTAGCCCTTGGGCTTTGTAGTCGAGTGAGAATGATTTCTCGAACTCGAATTAATGGCAGCCCTTGGGCTCGATGGTCGAGTGAATGTTTTCTCGAACTTGAAATAATGTAGCCCTTAGGCTTACGTGGAGCTTGATCTTGTTGATTTTTCGGTTGGCAGTCCCCGATTTATGGGGTAATTTTTCAAAATCCGGTCATGGTCGGCCCTTGAGCCTTTTTGCATAATAGATCATAAAATAGTAGAATCTTTTCGAGATATGAGATATTGGTAAAGAAGAAATTTTTCTTTACAAGTCATTATACATGTGTTCATGTTTTGTGCCAGGGCTCGAGCAAACTACACGGGCATGGTTCGTTTTGACCATTTGGCCCTTACAATCTATCCTATCGAAACCCTATTGCTATGAAGTAACTTTCTTGCATCGAACATAATATATTCGAGGGTAATGCCCCCCAGTATTCGAGGTTGATTGTAAAGAGGCCTCGGATACTGTTGAGTTGTTCTAAGTTAGCACGATCAATGGTTGCCTCATTAAAAACCTTGCCAAAAAATTCATTTGGGATAAAACCGGTCTAAGGGAAAAAGAGTGCAACGCGTGCTTTCAGACCTAAAGGCTTCGGGTTGAATAATCCACCCCATGTTTCTAGTCGAACACCTGCAAGGGTTAATTTCAAAATATAAATGAACATGGGAGGGTCGTACCTTAGTAGTAATATCGTTTTAGGTGCAAAATGTTCCAGTTGCTCGGTAGTTGTTTGTCGTTTATCATGCCTAGCTTGTAGGACCCCTTTCCGACGATTTCGAAGACCTGATATGGTCCTTCCCAGTTCGGACCCAATTTTCCTTCATTCGTATTTCGGGTGTTGAGAGTAACTTTCCTTAGTACCAAGTCCTCAATTTTAAAATATCGAAGATTGGTTCTTCGATTGTAGTATCTTTCGATCCGCTATTTTTGGGCGGCCAATCAGACAAGAGCGGCCTCTCGTCTTTCATCCAATAATTCTAGGCTCGTATTCATGGTCTCGTTATTCGACTCATTTGTTGCATATCGAAGCTTGATGCTAGGTTCTCCGACCTCAAACGGGATCAAAGCATCAGCGCCATAGACCAATGAGAATGACGTTGCTCCGGTACTAGATTCTGATGTTATGCGATATGCCCATAGGACCTCGGGTAGTATTTCTCTCAATTTTCCTTTGGCTTCGGTCAATCTCTTCTTAAGATTTTGGATGATGGTTTTGTTGGTCGATTCAGCTTGTCCGTTTCCGCTGGGATGGTACGGTGTTGATAGGATCCTTTTGATCTTGTGATCCTCGAGAAATTTAGTTACTTTGCTGCCGATGAATTATTTTCCATTATCATATACAATCTCGGCTGGCACCCCGAATCGACATATGATGTGGTACCAAATGAAGTCTATCATTTCTTTTTGTCTGACTTTCTCGAAAGCCTGTGCTTCAACCCATTTAGAAAAATAATCAGTCATAAGCAATATAAACTGAGCTTTAGTTGGGGCCGATGGGAGGGGGCCGACGATGTCCATCCCCCATTTCATGAAAGGCCATGGAGATAGGACCGAATGGAGTAGCTCCGCGGGTTATTGAATCATGGGTCCATGTCTTTGGCATTTGTCGCATTTTCAAACGAACTCCTTCGCATTTTTGCTCATATCGTTCCAATAATACCCTGCTCTGATCGCTTTATGGACCAGCGAATTGGCACCAGAATGGTTTCCACAAGTTCCCTCGTGAATTTCCCGTGGTATGTAATCGGTATCTCCTGGTCCCAGACATATTGCCAATGGTCCATCAAAAGTCCTTCTGAATAGCGTTCCGTTTTCGGATAGGGTGAATCGTGCTGCCTTTGTGCGCAAAGCTCTCGATTCCTTTGGATCTGATGGAAGCTTCCCGTTCTTGAAGTACTCTATATATTTGTTTCTCCAATCCCAGGTTAAACTTGTGGAATTTATCTCGGCGTGACCTTCTTCGATCACTGATTTTATGAGTTGTACGATAATCCCCGAGTTGAGTTCGTCATCTTCGACCGATGAACCTAATTTCGCAAGAGCGTCAGCCTCGCTGTTCTGTTCTCAGGGTACATATTGCAAAGTCCATTTTTTAAATTGATGTAGAGTCACCTGTAGTTTATCCAAGTACCTTTGCATTCGATTTTCTCGGACTTCAAAAGTCCCGTTAACTTGGTTTACCACGAGGAGGGAATCACACTTAGATTCTATGATATCTGCTCCCAAGCTTCTAGCTAGTTCGAGACCTGCAATCATGGCCTCATACTCGGCCTCATTGTTAGTCAATTTCGTAGTTCTGATAGACTGTCTAACTATATTACCTGTGTGTGATTTTAGTACAATGCCTAATCCGTACCCCTTCGCGTTCGAGGCACCGTCCGTGAAAAGGGTCCAGACTCCCGATTTTATATGTAGCTGTCTTTCAAACTCGGGCACGAG